AAGAGAAGAAAACTTGATGAAGAAGGAAGACTAAAACATAAGCTTGGTAAATTTGGGCAAGTCAAAAAATGTAGAGTATGTGGCCAATGTGGTCATAATAAATCCACATGCAAGCAGAAAACATCCTAGATTATTTGTGATAGTCCTTTTAGAGTCATCATCATTTTCATTTACCTCTGTGCCGCAAAGGCTCCCACCTACGGTGGGGTAGGGGGGGGGGGGGTCGGATGTACGCAGTCTTACCCCTGTACTAAAGCGCAGATAGACTGTTTTCGGATGACCTATAGTGAAAATCGCGTTTAAAATTGCATGGATTGACTGCTGTTTCATAACAAAGAAGCGCAGATAGTTTAGTGAGCGATTTTGCTTTATTACATCATATTCTTAAGCCAAAAAATAATGAATCTTTGGCTCCATTGCAAATGATGGAAATGCTAGTCCTTTTGCAGTCTTTCTAAAATATATTTCAGGTTATTTGGAGTACTATATCATATCTATTGTGAAGTAATAGTGTCATTTCACAAGCTAATGAAGTTAATGATGAAGTTGATGTTAGGATCTAGTCATCCAAACTACCCGAGTACCTACTGATGTGTTGGGAGAAATGGTAAGTCAACCTAAGCTTTCATGTTCAAGTTGTTTTCACGCAACGTTTTTCATTTACACAATACTCATTGTTAATTTATTTAGGACCTTTTTAGCTCTCAACATAGTCTTACTACACCAGCATCTAGGCTTTCTGAATCTGTTGAAGAGGGAGGCAAGCAAAGAATGGAGGTGTAATGGCTACACGAGCAAGAAACTATGAAGTACCAAGTCTTGAGAAAGGGATTGCAAAAAAAAAGAAGTCAATGGAATGTGACAACAAAAAGTGATTTGATGGAAGTGAAAGGGTATTTTGAGACACATGTATGTTATATTTTGTATGTCATTATATTTTTTTCGTGTTAAACACTAATGCTATATTTTGTATGACATTAAAACTTTTGTTTGTGCTAAACATTCATGCTTTATTTGGTATGAAATTATATTTTTGGAGGATGTGCAAGACACTTGTATGTTGTGAAGCATCCTCGTGTGTAAACACTTCTTGAACGCATATTTTTGTTGGTAATTATATGAGTGTTTAATATATGATTGTAGTGAATGTTTGCTTGCGTTTGTTAGACATATTTGTAGTAGATTTTTCTTGGTACGAACCCTTAAGGAAGAGCTTTGCATTGTTTTTTGTTTGGATTTTGTTTACCTTATAATCTAAGCACATCTTTCTTCAAATGGAATTGTCAATGTTAGTGTCGTCTTACCACCTTCAGCCATTGTTGAATTGCTTTTGCAAACATTTCTATAAGTTCACAAACATCACCTTTCACCATTTCATTTGGACCTCCTTGAAGTGGAAATCTTCCTGTTGATGCTGTTATCCAGAGTTATGCAGCTCTCTGCCCCAAAAAAATCCTCCACCTTCTGGGCTCCCTCTCCGGCTTCATTGATCATTAAGCTTCACCTATTGAGTATTAGAAATCTGCAATTGAATATCATGATCTCTTCTCCCATGTCTTTTAATCAACTTTTTTATTTGTTATTAGTTTCTCTTAAATTACATCTATAATTAACACATATGAATTCTAATATGCGAATCAAATGTAGTATGATACTTTTTAAATATGAATTGATATTACATTTTAAAATGAGCATAATACTAGTACCAAATGGGCATACATAACTTACAAAACGAGCATCGAAAAAAATTCAAAATGTCATTGGAAATCGCTAATGTGCTCAAATACTCATTTGTTTATGTTCATTCCTTTCAAGCGTTATACTCATTTGGCATGTGAGAGCGATGATGCAAAGGTTGGACAGAGCATCAATGTTGTCATTGAGAACCTCTGCAACACCGAAGATGAAGGAATGACAATGGAAAAGAGACACCCGAATCCCGATGAAGTGTCGGCGATTGGGCGACCAAGTGAGGATTGAACGAATCAGGTAGCAGCAAGAGGGAATCTAATCTTTGTCGGAGAGCATCAATGAAGGAACTCTGCTCTTCAAGATGATGGTGATGGTGAAGGTCGGAGTGATGATGCTGATGGCGAAGGATTGAGCGTGCAGTGAATCTAGAATCGGAGAAGGAGAGAGAAAAGTTTTATTTAACTTCAAAGTTCTGGGTAAAATGAAAAATACCCAGCTCTACCATATGCAAGGTGGAACCGATTGTATAATATAATTTGCCGACTTTTTAGTAGGAGTCCTCCTCTATATTAGGTGGAGTTTGGTGCCGTAAGTAAAGAGGATATTATTCTTTTCTTTTCTTTTTCTCTTTGTTGCGCAGGAGTCCGTAAAATTACATTCCAATTTGGGAAAACTGTCAAATAGACCCCCTACTAATACAGAAAAGTCAATTAAGTCCCTGAACTAAAAAAAACACTCAATTAAGCCCACGAACTATAAAAAAATGAGGCAAAACAGTCCTTTTAGCAGGTAATTAAGCGGTTAAAAAGAGATAAGGACAAAAGGAAAGAAAGAGAAAAAGAGAAAAAGAAAATGTAAAAACATGCCACATCATTTGCCACACATGCAACTTAACTGGGAACGGTTAATATCCTGCTAAAAAGACTGTTTTGCCTCGTTATATTTAGTTCGTGGGCTTAATTGGATGTTTTTTGAGTTCGGGGGCTTAATTGACTTTTTCGTATTAGTAGGGGGGCCTATTTGACCATTTTCCCTCCCAATTTGTATTCTATAGACTTTTATGTTAAAGTGCTCACAAATCACAACATTATCCCATAATTTGGAACTCCATTTGAACTAACTCCACAAACTTTTCTTCTCAATTTAGCCCAAAAAATCATCAAAGCCTTCAATTAAACCCCACTTTTAAAAATCATTTTAGCGCAAATTAATGAGATATAACTCAAACCTATCAATTAAACAAATAATAAGCGTAGAATTGTATTAAAATATCATAAAAATAAAACAAAAATTCTAGCTTATCATAGAGCCATGTGTAGCAGGCGCAGAAACCACAAAAACAACATATCATCTATTAACCGATTAATAGTACTCCATACATTGGAATAAACTAATTCTAAAGGACGCGTAAAAATTATGGAATTCAATGAATTTGTGAAGAGTGACAACTTGCTACTCTTATTAATGAAATAAGAAGCACAATGCATGTCATGAGACATGATAGATGGAAATATACCTATTTTAACAAAATAATGTAGGGATTTAGTTGTTAATATCACTAAATGGCCGGAAACTTATGGATAAAAATAAGACTACTTTTAAATGTGTCGATGACCATGGATGTGTTGCCGGCAAGTTGAGTAGTCAATAATCGAGACACCACCACATTCGTTGTGTTACCAATGCGAATACCCCCCATAGTCGGTGTAGCATGGTCAAAGAGATGCATCAGATGTAACATGGTGGGATGAAGCACCATCAAATAACCATGGATGTGGTGATGACGAGATCTGATAGTATAATGGACCGCTAGACTAGAGAGATGTGGCACACGAGGGTTGCGAATGAAGTGCTAATTTTCTGCATTGCTTGACATCATGCCCGGGATTATATTATTGTGACAGAACCAACATACAATATAACATTGAAGTGTTCTGACAGCCACACCTCTGATGAGATAGGAACCCGTGATGATCAAAGGTGAGATACGAGTGTTCCCCAATTTTAATTACATGCATTGTCTGTGTGGATGAGGGGGTTGTTTGCCACTGTGGTTTTGTGAAGACAGGTTCATGTTCAAGGATAATATTTTGTAATTCTGGAAGAAGTAGTACCATCGATTGAACCCAAATCATCAATTGGAGTTCACTATAATAAGGGCCAAACCTCAATTATGGGATTTTGAGCTAGAGCAAGTGGTTCACAAAGAACATACTATTGTCTGACTATCCAAGGTATGTTGTGATATAGTGAGATCCTATTTTACTAAGAGCAAAGGTAGTTTTGAGTGATACAATCCGGCCACATGATTCGCTCGCATATGTGAGGCAGTGAGGGCTAGCTTCTCCAATGCGTGACGTGTTGCGATAGCCAGAGAAATGATGGGTTGGGTTATGCTCGAACAACTTTTGAGTTGAGCCTTGATGTTTGTTTATCTTGGTGGTGATATCAAATACTATAGTTAGGATTCATTTAAGTCTTGGTAGCATTAGTGAATTGATACGAGATCCGAACAATACCGTTAACGTAGGCATCGAGAAGTTGAAGGTAATGAGGTTGATGGGTTATGTATGGAGGGCGAGTGATATGACACTCATTAGAATGTGATTTTCATACAACAAAAAATATTATAATTCTCATTAAAGTATAAACCATGTACAAGCTTGTATATATACACACGTGATAGGATATGACGAACACCTCATCGCCAACTTACTATGTACTACATAGAGGGAAGATATAATGGTTACATTTGTATGTGAAAATAAGTTGTGAATAACATAATATTAGCTATGTTCCAATATGCCATACACACGGTATTCACTGACTATGGTGACACATCACGAAACCAAAATGACTTGCTTTACTCCTACTCTTACAAGTGAGACTTCGGTATCATCTTTGCCAAATATGCTTGCAAGGGAAAGTGAGACTGTTAAGCATTTGCAATTTGAATTTAGTCATATAAGAAATAATCTCTTTGTGCTTTAGTATATGGGTAAAACTGCGTACGTTCGACTCCCCTTACTCCACCGTAGGTGGGAGCCTTTGCGGCACTTGGGTCTTGATGATGATGAGGAAACGAGACTGAATAAAGTAGGTCACTTGGGAGTGATGAGTACATTAGATGCACATATACTATCTATATTGCACTGGCCTAGTTAACAATGCCAAATCGCAAATGCTTAACCTAATAGTTGTTTATTCATTTAGACTGATAAGAAGCAAATAATTTTGTTATTCAAACGAAATTGTTATATTGAAGAGAAATCAATAATTTTAATGAGCATGTAACATGCTCGTTAATGAGCACATAGAGTGTGACAAAGTTAACATACAATCCGTATGTTTTAAGTTAATAGTTAATACGTAGAACCAATGATTTACTTCCAGACTACCATCCTCATTAGGTGCTCAAAAAAATTATTGACGAGTAATTGTTAACTTCTAACTTTGTTGACTTTAGATTGTCACAAGAACAAGTAAAAAACTTGTGGTAATGTGTTTTCTCTTGCAAAAGTCGGATTGACACAGAAGAAATGATCAAATATATCATTCAGGAAGAAGTGACAGAAAGGGGCAAAGACCTCCACAATTCATCATTTTCCATAGAGAATGCTCATCAATGTCCTATAAACTGGCCCTCTCTTGTTCTTCAACACTTCTCTCATTCCACCCTCTTCAGGCACAACTCCTCGCTTCTTGATCATTTCCAGCAACTCCTTTCCCTCATCTTCCATGCCCACCTGCACCAACCCCTCGAAGCTCCGGACACACGTGGCGGCATTCGGCTTCATCCCTCTCTTCTCCACCATCTCTATTACATACTTCTTCGCCTCCTTCGCCAGCTTCGGATCACCGCTGGTGGCCAGTGACTTGATCAGCACGCTGTAAGTGTACGCGTTGGGCAGTACGCCGGAGACCAGCATCCGCTGATACACTTTGTGGGCTTCTTTGGGCTGGCCGGCGTCGCAGTAGGCCTCAATCACCGCCGTGTGGGCCACCACGTCCGGCATTTCGGACTTGTCTTTGATGATGGAGAAAAGCTCAAGCGCTTCATGCGTCAAACCGTCCTTAGACAATCCGTCGAACATCTTGACTGCATTGTTGATCAGTCCGTCGGAGCGAATTTTGTGGAACACCTCCTGTAGGTTCTTCGGGTCATCGGGCTCCTCTATGACTGGTTTTTTGTTAAACGGATCGTACGGAGGGGGAAGCCTCGATTTATCAATCGTCTTCGCCGCCGGACTTTTATTCGCCTCCTCCCCGTCCGATTCACCATCCGAGTCCGAATCCGATAAGGAGAAGTTCACCAAGGTGTTACGCTTCGGAGGGGGTTGCGCGTCGGACGAGACGGGTGTCTCGGCGGTTGTGCAAAACCCGATTCCATTCCTCAAAAAGCATGGGCGGGGCACCAATCGATGAAAAGACGGCGGCTTTGGAATTGTCGGCCGGAAGCGGGAGAGAGAAGAAGGCTGAATGGATTTAGGGAGAGATAAAGACGGAGTGCAGCGGAAAACGAACTTCCGTGCAAGAGTTGCTGCGGCCATTATTATCAGCGGAGGAGGAAGATAGGCACAAAATTGATTCCTGGTTGAACGGAGTAAGCAGCGAAGCCGGCCGGTCTAAAACCCAAAACCTTTCCAGGAATGAAATTGTCGGGTCGGGTCGGGTCGGTATGGTGCTGTCGAAGTTACAAATAGTCAAATACCGAACCGGACCAGTATGGTACCGAATCGAAAAACGGGATTTGAAACAGATTTCAATTCTTTTGTTCTGAACCGGATCGTACTAGTTTCAAATCATGTCATGATCGGTTCCCATAAAATGAGATAAGTATGGTTTACATGTACATGTGTACAATTGTGTGGATTTATATTTTTGTGATTTATGCCTTGTACATCTCAAATTACAATTTCAAATTAAGTAAACGTAAACGTACATCTCAAATTGATCTTTGTTATTTATGTCTAAACTACTATAGTTTATCTAAAATTTATTAATTTTATGTAATATGAATGTTGCTAAATTGTGTGGATTTTTGGAGGATGACTAAACTTTAATCTCTTAAACATTTGGAAAAAGTGGCAATTTTTTGTATTGGTATGACACGACATTCAAAAGAAAACCGTGACAAATGGGTTTAGGTCTAACACCAAACCGGACAGGACCGATTCAATAGTCACGGACTCACGGTATGGATACAGATTCGGCTAAATATTGGATCATCCCAGACCGTGTCTACCCCTAGTTTTGATGATTGTGATATTATCTAAACAGTAATGAGTCAAAGATTTTGCTATGATGTCTTTTTTTTCTTTCTACCTTGGTTCTGGTTTTTTTTTGACATTTTCTTTTACTGAGAGTTATGTCTGCTTAAGGTGAGCGTGTGATATGTTTTTCTCCTAACAATGTCTAGAAATTGTGTGTTCTTCGACGGTGTAACCGATCCAATGTCGAAATTTCATTGTTCATTGGCAAGATGAGTTCAACCTAGTTCTTCGAAGTTTCAACTAGTCTCCCTCCTCTTGAACCACCGTATCACTTTGAGGGAAAGTTGGATCCCAACTTGATCTCCTTTTCGGTGGTTGGTCAAACCGTTGATTCAAACAAGTTCTACTCGGTTGAGTTTCTTTTGTTGATTGTTGGTCGTTGGTTGAACCATTCTGCTTTCCTTTGGTTGGTGAAATTGAATCTTTTATATGCAATTTTTATTTTTCTTTGGAGTAACACGACGAGCAACAAGACTATTAGGCTAGACCACATAATTTCGGAGCTAGCGAACTGGAAGGATTCATGAGATTCTTTTCGTTCTATGTCTCATCTCATTTTAACCTTAGACTATTCAAACACTTGTTCATTCACTATCAGTTAATGAATAAATCAGTTATTTAATTTTTTTTTAAAAATGTCTAAGTCGCAAAAGTTCCTAATTAAATGAACAATTAGGAAAACCTATAATTCCTCTATTAGATTTTTAACGAACCAACAAAATATATGTAGAGTAATGATATAAAAGGGTGTAAAAATGAATGAAGAATGCCAAATTCAAGAGAAATCGCTAGAAAAAACTTCGGAACTCATTTTGTGGATAAAAGGGGAAAGCATTTCACTATTTTTGGAGAACTAAGGGTCTGTTTACTAACAAAGATATTTTCTGGAAAACTGGAAAACAGAAAACAGGAAACGTGTTTACCAATGAAATTCTTGGAAAACTGGAGAAAGGAAAAAAGAAAAACGCGTTTACTAGTTTTCCAAATTTGGAAAACGTGTTTTCCAAAACGGAAAAAATGAGACATGTCTCTCTTTTCCTTAATGATTTGGAGAAGTGACTTTTACTAGTTTTCCAAATTTGGAAAACGCAGATGCTACAGTGCCGCTGCAATGAATTTGCATACGTACACCTAGTGGTGGGTCCAGTCCCGCTCCGATGTCGATTCCATTCCGGTACCTCCATCCTCGTACCTTACCCCTTACCTCTACCCTACCTTACCTTACCCACCCAACCCCACCCCACATACCCATTTTCCCCTATAATGACCCTACCCCACCCCCTACCACATGCCCCTACCTCGGCCCCACCCTGATCCACCCTACCGCCACCCCTACCACCTCGACCCCACCCCGACCCACCCTACCCTACCCCTACCCGTATATTACCCCTTACCACATGCGCCTACCTCGCCCCCACCCCACCACCATCCTACCCCCACCCTCGTACCACCATCCTACCAGCACCCTTCCGCCTAGGGGTGGACTCGGGCCGGGTGGCCCGACCCGGAACCGTCCCGGCCCGGCCCGGCACTGTTCCGGGCCCCCATTCCTGAACCGGAGGCCCGACCCGGGCCTGAACCGGCTCGAGTTCACCCATATTTCTACCATCCTACCACCATCCTACCCCCACCCTACCCTTCCCCTACCTCGGCCCCACCCCGGTCCCGGCCCCACCTTACCGCCATCCTATCCCAACTCCATACCCTACCTCTACCTTACCCCAAACCCTACCCACTACCCCACCCTTACCCCTAACCACGACCCTAACCCACCCACTGTAACACCATCCCCAAATATATTTACTTTTATGTAAATAATGTATTGAACCTTATTAAAGGATTAATGAATTTACGAAGTTGTAAATTTTTGTTATTTCTTTCGCGTGAATAATAAATTGCATGTAGGACCCACACCGGGAGCGGGGGCCGCCCGACATTCCCGAGACCATATATTTTATTCATCTTGGTCTATATAATAAATATATAGTGGTGGATATTTCATTTGGGCCATGGAAAGGCCCGGAGTTGACCGATTGGTCAAAAGGAGCCCAAATTACCAGTACTGGTAATTTAACAGATAACAACCCGAACTGAATTTCGGAGGCTTATAAATTAAATTTGGGGAATGTATATTCATTATACATGTCATAATGAGTAAGAGCACATAATATATTTTATTTGACCCGATAAAATAAAACATATTTAAAACAGTCCGAAAAATACAACTTTCGGGACCGATTGTACACCTCGGGACACAAAGGGATGACCTCTCACATGAGTGGGGGCCATCCCACGTTTTATTCGGCTCAAATGTGACCCTTGGGGGCTGCAAAGACAAGGGAAGGTGGGAGGAAGGTCAACCATGAGTTAGGATGGGACCCTTTCCCCCCATAATTGGTGAGATGAGCCAAAAAGGCCATCCTATCACCCCCTCACCCCATTAGCTCGACCAGGCCACCCAAGGGAGAGAAGAAGAGCTTCCAAACTCACCTCCATTGCTGCAAATTCGAGCTCAAGCTTTAGTGGTCCAAGGAGGAGGTTTTAAGAAGGCAAAAGTTAGGAAAAGTGTGAATAATTAAGGTAATGACCTTATTATAACTTCTCCTTATTTTTTCTTCTACCATATGAGGTATATATCATGTGAAGGACCCTTAGTATGGTTCCACATGTTATAAGTATGGATTTATGGGTAGAAAGATGGTTCTATGTCCAAAAACAGACTTAGAGGCCAAAACTACCGGTTCACCGGAAAATAACCCTTTTGAGGTTATTCGTATTAATATGGGTTTTATGACTATAAAACCTTGTTAGGCACTTGTAAAGGGTATTTCAAGTGATTTCACAAAGTGGGAAAAGTCGCCGGAGTTGTCGCCGGAGTTTCACCGGAGTTCAACCAAGGAGTGTAGAACTTCATAACGCTAGCTCAAGGTGAGTGGACGGCATAATATCTTATAACTTTTGGGTTAATTATGAGATTACCTAAATAAATGTTATATGAGTTCATAATGATGTTTAAAAGATATTTAAACATGTGATTAGCCAATAGGGTTAAGTTTGTATGAAAGAAATAAATGGTTTATGCATGGAATATGATATGAAGAATTATATAAAATGCATATTTGTTTGAAATGTATAAGAAGCACCAATGAATATTATTAACTTAATTACATGATGATTAAGTTGATAAGTGTAAGACTTGAAATGGCGGTCAACGACAACGTTGACCGATGGATAATGGATTAATTAATATCGGTTGATATTAGTTAATTATACATTTATATAATTGCATGGCTTTGCATGGATTGTGATACATAAGCTTTATGTATTGAATTAGTTATGAGTAACTAAGTATGATATAGACTCTATCTAGGTGGATAGAAGGTTGATCATAGGAAAATATTTTGGTGGAGGACCCTAGTACTTAAAAGTACTTAACACTCAAAATTTGGTGGAGGACCCTAGGACTTAAAGTCCTTAACACTCGGATTATAAATTGGTGGAGGACCCTAGGACTTAAAGTCCTTAACACTCGGATTATAAATTTGGTAGAGGACCCTAGGACTTAAAAGTCCTTAACACTCAAACTTGGTGGAGTACCCTAGTACTTAAAAGTACTTAACACTCAAAATTTGGTGGAGGACCCTAGGACTTATGAGTCCTTAACACTCGGAAAACAAATTGGTAGAGTACCCAAGGATTATGATCCTCAAAACTCATAGATTATGATATTGAAATAGGGACAAGGAGGAGTCCTATACACTCATAGGTATATGGGTGGGTTGGGGTTTTTAGTCAAGGATATTGACTATTACTATTTTTCCCAAATAAAACGGTGATCTACGGATCGAATATTTTCCAAGTATATATATATACTATTAAGTATTTCATAACTTGGGGTAAAGACTACTTATATAAGTATCACCCTATGTTTGGGTCTTATACTTGAAACGCTAGTTATTCTATATTTAGCCTGCTACTCGCTCGGTACTTGTACTGATCCCTTTGGGGGCCCCCACCATTTTCAGGTTGAAGCTAGAGCTTGCTACTTGCACCTTCTCACGGGTGATATCACTTCAGGAAGACGTGGTTCGTGCTTCCTTATTTTCTTTCAAACTACCGAACACTTGCTCATGGATTTTTGTTCAACTATAAACTATTTTTGGGGCTTGCATGCCCATGTTGTTGGCCGGTTGTGGCTTATGACTTACCGTTGAATATTTCCGCTATTCATTGGTTTAAATGTGATGTTGTTATGTATGTTTACTACTGAGTATGGATGGATTATTTTCTCGAACGCCTTGTGTAATTAAGTGAGGTTGACTCGCGGGTGACGTCTCTTAATTATACGGCGGTTGTACACG